TTATATGAGTATGTCAGCTTCCTATATATAGCCTGACCAACACTAGAATCTGTACATACATATATATATATATATATATGTATGTGTGTTTGTAAGGCTGAAGTTTTTGGGTTTTGGCATGTTTTTAATGATGGTCTAGTCTTTTCTCCCCCAGTTATTATTAGTTTTTATTTATGTGTCTATCGTGAGTAAATGAAGGTGCTCTTCACCCCAAAGTATATACATAATTCACCTTTTTTTTTTCCAATTTAGTATTTATTTTTTGTTTCTAGCTTGAAGGTGAGATCTATTTTTATTTCAAGGAATTAATATGTTATCCCAGAACCACTTATTAAATCCATCCTTTCACCAAGGATTTCAAATACCGTGTATATCATAATAAATTCTTGGGGCTGGGTGTGGTGACTCACACCTGCAATCTCAGCACTTTGGGAGGCTGAGGCGAGCAGATCACTTGAGGCCAGGAGTTTGAGACCAGCCTGGCCAACACAGTGAATCCCCGTCTCTACTAAAATAGAAAGAATGAGCTGGCTGTGGTGGCGCATGCCTGTAGTCCCAGCTACTCAAGAAACTGAGGCACAAGAATTGCTTGAACCCAGAGGCGGAGATTGAGTGAGCCAAAATCACGCCACTGCACTCCAGCCTAGGTGACAGAGTGAGACTCTGTGTCAATCAATCAATAAATAAAAATTAATTCTTGGATATATATATATATCTATTTATGAGCTTTTAATTTTTTCCCATTTTCTTATCTATAAGGTGCTGGAGAATAAGGACCTCGTCTGTTTGGTTCATTGCCACCAGGAAGTGAATCACTACCTGTTAGACAATAGGTTGCTGCATGTGTTTAACAGATCATCTGTTTCTTCCTATGTCATTGCTACATTTTTAAAATACTGTAGCTTTACAATAACTATATCATATATTGTTTTTATTTATTTTATGTGATTTCTAAATTTTCTTTGGCCAATATAACAAAGTCTTCAAGATGAGCATCAGAAACATTTTGTTAAGTCCAAAAACAGGACCCACTATTAAATGTGTGGCCTATTGGAAAGACTCATTATCTTTGCAGCATTATTTTACTACTCAGAAACATGTTACTGCTCCGTTTCATTCAGTATATTTGTTGTTTATTTATTTTAGTTTTACTTTCTTCCCTCAATAGCTGTAATAATATTTCAAGTAATTCTCTTGAGGTTTTTAGGTTTTCAATAACATTGAAATCTATAAATAATAATCTTGTCTTCTTTCCAGTATTTATTGCATTCACTAGAATTGCCACTATTAAGTAATAGTGAAAAGAATAAATGTGACTTTGATTTTTTTTTTTTTTTTTAAACAGTGGAAAGTAGGCCTTAAAACTGGAAGGTCTAGGAACAGGATTCTCTGCTTAGAGCTAAAATGACAGTGATTCAGGGTAAAAAGAGGAGGAATAAAGGGAGTGGCTTTGAGGATTGTTTTACAGCCTGAATAGCACCTATCTTTATCATCTGAGTGACTTCATTTTAGGTCAGATCTGTACACAGGTTATTATAAGAGTAAATTCAACTCTCGAACCAGGAGTAATGTCATAAATGGTGGGCACTATCTTTCTCAAGCATCAAATCACAAGCAGTTCTCTGTACAATCAAATTGCAGATTAAAGAGTTTAGAATTTTTATTTTTGTGTAGATTTCTGCCTTGTAGAATTAGTGCCTTCCTATATACATTATCGTTGAATTCAAAGTCTGAGATATTCCTGTATTTGAGATGTTATTGATCCTTTTGGTAAGAGGGAACAGTGGCACCTAGATTGGGAATAAAGACAGAACAAAGAACCACAGAACTGCTTCATGTGCTAAATAATGGCAGGGTTTAGCATTAATGGAATTTGTTTTAATATCTCAGCCTGGTTATAACTCAAGCAGTATACAAAGACCTTGTTATACAACTCAGGAAACTGTGTTTATAATGATACAGAATTTAGAATGGATTAATAGTCACAACTGTATTACCAAAAACTGTATCAGTAAATCTTTCTATCCCTAATTGCCGTGCAGATTCGCCCTATTCTTTATACGTCGTTTTTATATTTAGTGGCTCAGCTCATTTGGTCGATTGAGTTGTGAATAGCTAGTAATTACTTGAGAAAAAAAGAAAACTGCACAGCCCTCTAAATAAAGTGGAAAAGAATATAATAGGCTATTTGGCCTTGCAACTTTATTTTCAGTATGATTGTTCTATCTTACTTGTGTATTCTGTGCAAATTTCATAAAGCAGTTATTTTATACAGGTACATTTTTATTGGTCATTGTATACCATAATTGTGCTGCCACAGTTCATCCCTTTGCCATAGTTGCCATTGCTGTCTTGCCTTCAGTTTATTGGCCTCTTACATGCCCTGTCTGCTGGCTTTGTGTGGTTATTTGCTTATAGATAGATTTGTAAATGTCAAACTGGTAAATAGTTACACCTGTGATTAAGGAGGAACGGTATACTGAGCACGAAATATTGACCAGTGGCATATGATCTGAATGATATGGGGAGATAGTGTCTTCTAATGAGATAAATTGATACAAATGGTTGAGTTATTTGCTGAATTATCAAATACCTACTATTACCTGACTTTTCTTTTTGGTCATAAATCTTCTGTTTTAAAAAAATGTTTCACAACTCCATTCTTCTAATCAGATCCAGTGTAGAGATGTGAAGAGTTAAAGATCTCAGCATAACGTGAGATCTCCAACACTACCGTCAACCAAAGAAAGGGAAGGGGGAAATTAATGTTATTGAGAAAAGACAGAGGAGACACAGAGATCAGGAAGGATGCCAGAAACCCAGGATGAAGAGGTCAAATAATTAGATTTTAAGATGTGAACTGAATAACAAGAGCTACCTCTTAACCATTTCTACATTGGTGACTTTGGTAGTAGACACCCAGTACATGCTGAGTGAACAGTGGTAACTGTCTACTAGCCACTTGCACTAGCAGACTCCAGTGCCTCCACCTCCCTCACCGCTCTCGTCCTGTAAGTTGCACTTGACTGTACATCTGAACCATGTCATTAGTTTCTCCTCCTTTCCCTTTCCACTGCCACCACTCTGCTTCAAAGATGGTAATGCAAACATGATCACCTTTCCTTCCCAATGGTCTTCTCTCTTCTCATTAAAAGTGTAGACTCCACACAACCATTAGGATTATTGGTCTAAAACACAGAAGTGATAATGCCGTACACCTGTTTAAAAACCTACAAGGGCTTCTCATTATAGTTAGAAGTCCAAACTTTTTAGCATGCCATTCAAAACTTGTTACAATCAGATCTCACCCAACTTTTCTCTAACCTACTATACCGCTGTAGCCTTCCACTTGCCAACCACACCGTATTACTCAGAGTTCCCCAAAACCTGCTGTAGGTTAGAACTCATGCCTCCATGTTTTTATTTTATTTTATATGTTATGTTATGTTATGTTATGTTATGTTATGTTATGTTATGTTGTGTTATGTTATGTTATGTTATGTTATTGAGGCACGGTCTCACACTTTCACCCAGGCAGCAGTGCAGTGGCACAATCATGGCTTACTGCAGCCTCTAACTTCTGGGCACTAGTGATCCTCCTGCCTCAGCCTGCCAAGTGGCTGGGAGTATAGGCACGTGCCACCATGCCTGGCTGATTTTTTTTTTTTTTTTTTTTTCATAGAGACAGGGCCTCTGTAACTCCTGGGCTCAAGCAGTCCTCCCAAGGTGTTGGGATTTGCAGGCATGAGCCACTGCACCCTGCCCTCCATGTTCTTATTTAACCTGTTTCTTTCTCCTTCTCCTGGGCTCAAGTACTATAAGGTCCAACCAGAGTATGCCTTCTTTTTTGGGAGTTTTCCTCATTCTATTTCCCTTAACCCCCAGCAGAATGGACCCTCTGCTTCCGTTATGCCTTCTGCATATCTCCAGTTAAACTGATTCAACAATACATTGATTCCTTGTGGATGCTGGTTTGTCCTAATCTCCATCATTTATTTAGCAGAATGCCTGGCACATAAAAGTACTATACACATTCCCTCATTTAATCTTCACAGCCACCAATGAGGTTGACCTATTTATACGTCATCTGCATTTTACAAATAAGTAAACTGAGCTGGAAAGGCCTCACAGCTGGTAGAAGGCAAAACTTGAACCCTAGCCTAGATTCATGAAACTCCTTAAGTCCACACTCTTAACCATTTTGCTCTGTTTGTCTCTCCACACCTGTGCATCCTTGGTGCCCACTCTTCAGTGGATACTCTGTAAGTGCCTATTCACTGAATGAATAACTCCAGCAGTAGTTCAGCACAGACTGGCAGTGTGGTTTCCATTGAAAGGGAGAGTGTACCACCCATAAAACTGTTTCTTTAAATCTTCAAACCACATACACAAAACAATTCAGTATGTTGTTCATTGGGTCTCAGAAATGTTCAACATGGAAAAAAAGCTTCAGTGTTAAATACGGCTAGCCTTTGTAGCACAGAGCACAGCATAGAACTGCAAGATGATAAGACAGTTTGAATTGATTTCTAGGAGACTGCTGCCCCCTTACTTCTGTCTTGATTATGAATGTTCTCAGAAAGCAGATATAATCTAATTGAACTTTCACTGCCATAGCACATTGCAGAGCCAGCTATACTGCATGTAAACTTTGAGATGGACTACAGTAAATAGAGGAATAGTTAGGATGAGCAAGGTCTGTTGCAAAAACTAAGTGTTTTTTTTTTTAAAGCTATTAAGTTGAAAAATGCTTTAAATGCCATGTATTATTAAATGCTTGTATAAATGAGTACAAAACCACTTGTCTTTTCTTGGGTTATCTTAAGGGTTAGGTAGCAAATCAGAGCATTACATTTAATGCTTAAAGATCTTGATAGTGAATTTTACTAATAAATAGTGATTTTAGTTCATCTTTTTTTGTCATCTGATTTTCTTTATTGACTTAGTAAAATGTAGTATAGATTCAATTTCATAACTTTTCTTCTCTGTTATTTCTCTAGTGTTGTTAATAACAGTACTGGTAGTGGAAGGGATTGCGGTGGCCCAAAAAACCCAAGGTAAAGTACTTACATTGGTGACTTACTGCATGTTTGAGACAATGGAATGGCTTATTTGAAAGGATTGCAACTTTTGGGTACTATTTCCATAATCCCTTTGGGGTGTTCCAGTGACCTAAGGCTTTCTGTCAACCCATCAGCCTCAATTTTACTGGGTTTAGCTGCAGTTAACTAGAGTAAATTGTCAGCATAAAGTCTTGCCCTGATGAATTTTAAAAATTGACATCACTAGTAGCTCCTAGCATACTGTGTATTATGTCCAAAAATTAAATGAGATTTATATTTTATCACTAAGCAAAAATAAAAGTCCCTTTTTCTAATTTAAACAAATGAAACACTTCAATTAATATCTTACTCAAAGTCCTTTGGTCCTGTTCTTTTGTCTTGATTTATGATTGATGATTAGCTAGTGTGATTGTTTTTTTTTTGAGCCAGATTTTTATGTCTGAATTTAGTACATTTCCAGTGTAACCCTGTTTGTTTTTATTTTCATCTAAGTAATACATACACATGATAAAAATCAAAGCATTCCTAAAAAGTTAATTAGCAAAAATGAGTTCCCCATCTTACCCTACTTAACTTCCTGCTCCATGGAAATAATCACTCTTAGCTGATTCTTTTGGTATTTCCCTTCCTTTCTCTAAATAACATGCTGTATTGCTACTTCTTGGTTATTTCAGTTTTAGAAATTAGATAATGATTTTTCACCGTGGAAGATAAGAATTTAGCTCTTTCACGCACCTACTGTCCACTCCATCCATATATGAGTGTTCTTGTACGTTGCATTTGTACCACCCTTCTCAACACAGTTCTGTCATAATTCCGGTTAACTCAGTATTCAGGATTTACATTAAGTCACTCATTCAGCTGAATTTTGTCTTTAGGAAGTTTTCTTTTTTTTTTTTTTCTGTTTTAATTTTTAAAATTCCCTTTCCTCCATTTTCTCTCTTCTGCCTTTTCAGGAATTCTATTATTTTACTTGGTTATGGCCCTCTTGGTTTTTGTTTCTAGCTCTTCTGCTTTCCATCTTTTTGCTCCACATTCTCTGAGACTTCCTCAACTTTACCTCTAAACCAGGAGTTAGAACACTTTTTCTGTGGATCCGATCGAAAGTATTTAAGGCACTGTAGGCCCTACAGTCTCTGAAGCAACTCTTCGAATTCCTTGACTCTTCTGTCCTGGAACAAAAGCACACAAATGATGGGCATGGGTATATTGCAGTAAAACTTTATTTACAGCAGGCTCCAGGTCATGTTTGGAACAGGGTCATAGTTTGCTGAACTCTGCTCTAAACATTCTGCTGATTTTTTCATTTCTTCTGTCTTTGGAAGCTTTTTTTGGTTCTGTTTTCTGAATATAATATTCTGTTTGTACACTTTGTTTTTGTCTTGTGGATTTACTTGCTTTTCTTTCTCAGGATATTAAATGATTATTTTGTGGTGGTGGTGGTTTTTAAATATTTTTCTTGCATAGTCTTTATCTTCTCAGAGTTGCTTTTCTTCAGTTTTTTTTTAAATTAATTATTTATTTATATTAGTGATTTTCCTCCAATGTCTGGTGATCCTTAAGGGCTCATATTTTAAGAGGGACACTAAAAACTGATCATTAACTGTCTGCAGGTGTGGGCAAGGATCAGTTACTGGCTCTTCCTGTTGACAGATCTGACATTGGGGAACTTCTGCGTCTGCATCAAGCCCTTCCTAGGGGCTGTTTCGATTCACAGAGAAGAATCTTTTCTTTTCCTGCTTAAAGGCTCAATATCTGATCAGGAGGCCTTTGTGGGAGTTCAGCAGGAAATGAAGGCTGGAACATATGCTAACATTCACTCATCTCCCTGTTTTCCTTCTCAGCTGTGCCTGGTGTCCCCTAGTCCAGTAACCCTGTTTTACCTTCTCCAAAGAAATCACCTTTAGTGTTCTGATGTGGTTGTAGAGCTGCTAGATTTGTGGAGGAGGAAAGGGTACTGAAAATCCAACTCATTCTAAACAAACTTTTAACTAGTCTTGTGTTTTTAAAAAGCCCAGTTTCACTTACCACCCCCCCACCCAACTTCCTGGTACAGCCAGTTGTTACTGCTATATCTACCCCTCTGTATTTAAGAGTTTATATCCTTTTAAAAATGCTTTTATTGTTGTTTAAGTGGAGTTTGAGGAAGGAGCAGAGCTAAGTGCATGTGTTTAGTCTACAATCTTCGGCTAAAATCCCACTGTAACCTTTGAATCTTCTTTTACTGTTGTGTTAAACTAAGTATGAGGGCCCCATCTCAGAGATCAGTTCCTGGGATACCTTCATTTTTAGGTTAGAACTGAATTGTATTGCATCTTACTGACTTAGCAGGTTCCCCCATACGGTTTTGCCGTTTGTTAAGTGCGTATAAGCCCTTTATTTCCCTGTTATTTTACACGGCAAACTTGTCCTCTCCCAGCAAGTTTTACCTCCCTCTCTTTCACTTCTATACTCAATTTATTGTGCTAAATTTGACAGTGGTTATTACAAAATTTTATATATGTAGCATAGAGTGAGCAGTTGTTTGGAAACTGATGGGGAAAGAGAAAAATGATTCTCTTTTGCTGTAACGAGTGTTTTAAATGCCGTTTTTCCCTAAGATGGACAAAATATTGGAATCAAGCACATTCCTGCAACCCAGTGTGGCATTTGGGTTCGAACCAGCAATGGAGGTCATTTCGCTTCACCAAATTATCCTGACTCATATCCACCAAACAAGGAGTGTATCTACATTTTGGAAGGTATTTGACCAATTTATTTTCTTGGATTAATTTTTACTTTATTGTAAAACTAAATATGTTGGTAAAATGACCTATGTAAACCAGTTTGAATGAGATTTAACATGTATTTGAATTAAACTGTAGTAATGATAAGTATTTCTGCATATAGAATACATTTACAAGATACTAGCAGAAATGTTAGGGAAAGTTTGAATCTCCCCAAGTATAATTCAACTAGGTACATTAGTATATATGAAAAACTTCTTTGATAAGAAACTTAAACTTACTGGCATCCCTTATAAGGCTTAATTCAAATTTATGTCCACATAAGTGAGTTCCTTTCATTTCTTCTGTTTATTTTTCTGTGTATTGTGGTACATTGTATCTTGAACTAAGTAAGTATTAGCTTCTTGACTCTTCAGTTTGAATCACTCAAAAATATTTAATTTAGTAGATAGCATGTGCCAAAGGAAAAGATTACTATACTTCTACAGAGTAGCATTATTTTTATTGTAAGATACAACATTTATCATGACTTGTATAGCAATTCTCACTAAAACCTTTGTCTATGAAGCAGTTAGCAGAACAGTTGTTCTGCTTTTCTCATTTGTGTCAATACATTTATATTTTTTCTTGTTTGTGTTGCCCTGATTTGCTTACTCTTATTTTCTAGCTGCTCCACGTCAAAGAATAGAGTTGACCTTTGATGAACATTATTATATAGAACCATCATTTGAGTGTCGGTTTGATCACTTGGAAGTTCGAGATGGGCCATTTGGTTTCTCTCCTCTTATAGATCGTTACTGTGGTGTGAAAAGCCCTCCATTAATTAGATCAACAGGGAGATTCATGTGGATTAAGTTTAGTTCTGATGAAGAGCTTGAAGGACTGGGATTTCGAGCAAAATACTCATTTATTCCAGGTAAAGAATAAGTTATCTTTTAAGTGGTTGGGCATCTCACTCTAACTCTGATTTTAGAATCTTAAGGTTAGAAAAGAGATTAATTTGGTCAAGTTAATCAAGTCAAGATTTTAAATAAATTAGCAAAGTCAAAGGGAAATTAGTCCATGAACAAATAAGAAGTTAATGGAAATTGGACATAGAAACGTATCACTTGAAATTTGAAGCATATCAGAGATGGTGCCACATTTTCTTAGATTTTTTTCTGTCTTATAGCACATGCTCAGGCTAACATTTAAAATATATTTAAAAATAAATACAGTTTTAAAAATAATTCAACAAATTGTCTTGTTTTCAGAATTTCCACAAAAATTGTTTTGTATGATTTTTCTCATTTAGCTGTTATAATTAACCACTCAACTGAATAAATACTCTAGAATATATTGAGCAATAGAAAGAACACTGCTCTGCACTTGGATGTCAAAAATCTGAGTTTGAATTCTTTCTCTGCCTCCTAATAGCTATGAGACTATTAAGCACAGAATTATGCCTGAGATTTGCCATTAGTAAAATGGGAATGCCTGCTGTATTAGTTTACTGATGCTGCCATAACTAATTACCTCAAATTTGGCCACTTAAAACAGCAGAAACTGATTTTCTTGCATTTGGGGAGACCAGAAGTCCAAAATTGAACAAGGCCTCATTCCCTTTAGGAACCTGGGGGAGAATCTGGTCTTTGCTTCTTCCAGCCTCCAGTGGGTGCCCCAGCCTTGCTGGGCTGTGGCCACATCACTTCAGTCTCAGCCTCCCTCTTCACTGCTCTTTCTACTCTTTTCAAGATCCTTAACCTAATGGCATCTTTTACCTTGTAACATTTACTCTTTTTAAAAACTATACATATACACACACACACACACACACATATATATATATACACCCTACTACTCACAGGTTATGGGGATTCCAGTGTGTGTATACTGGGGGGCTACTGTACCATCAGCCTCCTCCACCTTGTTACCTGCCTCACAGTAGGTGAGAACACTCTGAGAACTGTGAAGCCCTGTCCATTATGGCATGTACATATCCCTAGTGCAGAAACACAGAGATGTGCAAGTTACTGTTCCTGTCTTCACCAAGCTTACACACTAACGATATGAAAAAATAACAGTAAAACAACTGTATGATCTTTTTGCTTTTATTTATTTTTCATGCAAGAAATTTAATTGGAAAAAATTAAAACATTGAAATGAAAAGAAAATATCCATAATTCTTCCACCCTGTATATGAAATCAGTGTTAACAATTTGGTGTATATCCCTTCCAGTGTTTTTCTGTATCTGTTTCTTTTGTTTGTTATACAAGATTGGGATTATGGTACATATATAACTTTATTATCTGCTTTTTTGCCTGAAAAACATAAACAACCTTTTTTTCCCTGTCAGTACTCATGTAGGAAATTTTAAGCTTTGCTTCAGTGTATATCTGCTCTTTTTAAATTTTTTTTCTATAATCCCCATAGCCAAACAAGTATTTATTTGCTCAATGCCAAAAGGATATTTCCAAAAAGTAAAATTTGTCTAATAGACTGTATTTTTTAGAACAGTTTTAGGTTCCCAGCAAAATTACACAGGAAGTAGAGTCACCATAAGCCTCCTGCCTCCCTTTCCATCAGCATCTTTCATGAGAGTGGTGCATTTGTTACCAATGATGAGCCAACATCCATGCATCATTATTACCCAAAGCCTATAGTCTATAGTTGACATTAGGGTTCACTCGCGGTAGGGTGTGCTCTGTGAGTTTTGACAAATGCATGATGACATGTATCTGCCCTTAAAGAACCATACAGAACAGTCCCACTGCCCTAACAGTCCCCCGTACTCTGCCTGTTCATCCTTCCCTTTCCCCAAACCATTGACAATCGCTGTTCTCTTCAGTATCTCCCTAGTCTTGGTATTTCCAGAATGTCATGTAACTGGAATCATACGGTATGGAGCCTTTTCCAGTTAGCAGTATGCATATAAGTTTCCTCCATGTCTTTTTGTGGCTGATAGCTCATTTTTCACACCAAATAATACTTCATTGTCTAGATGTACCATGGGTTGTGTATCCATTCTACTGAAGGACATCTTGGTTGCTTCCACATTTTAGCAATTATGAATAAAGCTGCTATTCATGTGCAGGTTTTTGTGTGGACATGAGTTAATTCATTTGAGTAAATTCTAATACATGCCACAACATGGATGAACCTTGAAACATTATGCTAAATAAGATAAGCCAGAAGCAAAAACACAAATATGACTCCATTTATATACGGTATCTAAAGTAGTAACATTCATTGAAACAGAAAGTGGAATGGTTATCAGGGTTTGTTGGGGAAGGGGGAAGGGGAGTTAATGTTTAGTGGGTGTAGACTTTCAGCTTGGGATGATTAAAAATTCTGAAAAAAATGGTGATGGTTGTACAACATTGTAAATATGCTTAATGCCACTGAATTGTAAACTTAAAAATGGTGGAACCAGACGTGTGGTGCACACTTGTCATCCCAGCTACTCGGGAGGCTGAGGCTGGAGGATTGCTTGAGCCCCGAAGTTCGAAGTTATAGTGAGCTATGATTGCACCACTGCACTCCAGCCTGGGTGACAGAGCAACACCCTGTCTCTTAAAAAAGGGCAACATTATGAATTTTATGTTATGTATAATTTACCACAATTAAAAAGTAGTAGTGACCGGGTGCGGTGGCTTACATCTGTAATCCCAGCACTTTGAGAGGCTGAGGTGGGTGGATCACATGAGGTCAGGAGTTTGAGACCAGCCTGGCCAACATGGCAAAATCCCATCTCTACTAAAAATATAACAATTAGCTGGGTGTGGTGGTGCGTGTCTGTAATCCCACCCACTTGGGAGGCTGAGGCAGGAGAATCGCTTGAACTTGGGAGGTGGAGGTTGCAGAAAGCCAAGATTACACCACTCTACTCCAGCCTGGGCAACAGAGCAAGAATCTGTCTCAAAAAAAAAACTAGTAGCTAGTAAGCTGTTTTTTTCACAGTGGCAGGGAAAAGAAAGATACACAGGATGCCCTGCCTTGTGAAATCGTCCACAGGAGTTTGAGAACCAATAGTTTATATCAAAATGACTGATTGGATTAAATTGGTTAGGTGTTTTCTTTTTATTAACTAAATCAACTGACTGAAGTAGTTGAAACATTAGTGTCATGAAGACACTTACAATAGATGATGACTGTACATAAGTTTGGACTACTTGACAGAAAAAGACATCCAAAGAATACACTTATTTGAATAGTGTTTTTAAATATTTAAAAACAAGATCAGCCAACTTCATATGTAAATATACTTACTTTGGAGTCAAGTAGCTCTTTTTCCTCTATTCATGTTATAGATCATGAGAGCAACTTTAAATGGCCTATAGTTAAAATATAGACAAAGTATAACAAAATGGTTAGGATTTCTAGAGTTTATCACCTTTCATTTGCATTTTATAGTGCTTCACAGTTTTGATAGACATTATATTTAATTTTGTGCTAATGACAGTAATGTCAGGAGGATTATATAATATTTTACAGATGAGGAAACTGAGTCAGAGATTAAGTGATTTTCTTAGTTCATAGAATGGCAAATCGAGGACTAGATTGCAATTCACTAGGCAATACTTCCTACTCTTCTCATGTCACCTTTATAATGTGGGTGAGGTCACATTGAAGAAAAGCCTTATTAAAAAAAAATGTGGATGAGAAGTCCACAATTTTATCACTAAAAGAGAAAGCCAACACATGTCAAAATAAATAGGCAATGCATAATTAGCTAAATATATCTCTGTCTGATGTTATTTCAAGTCATGTTAATAAAATAAGTTTTGTCTAGGAGTTGGTAATTCTGGAAGAAACCTATTAACAATGGTGAGAAGTTCGTATTTTTTTAATGAAATTCTCTAAGCTATTGGTGATATTTACTGAGGCAGAGGCTCTTAATGGATTGTTAGTTCCTGGATGTAACTGGGATAATTATGGACATTTTAATGCGATAATGACAATATCCTAGATTTCTGGAATACATGTGAACTAGTTCTGATTAATTTGCCAGACAGTTCCTGTGATTCCCCTCCGCCATGCTGTTTAAGATTTCAATTTCTCTTTGACATTTCTCTGCAAAAGAGCCGAAATGTCTGTTGTCCTCTTTTAGCAAGGACAAGTTTTGTTTATAAAGTTAAAAAAGAACAGTTGCTGAAATATATTCTACATAAGCTAATAATTTTTTTCCTCTTTTTAAAATATGTAATTTGATGACTTCCTAAAGTGTCTGGAATTAAAGACAACAGTTTTAACAGGAATTGAGCCTCTAGTTGTACACAATTAAATTGTGAATTGAAATAGATTTTCCAGGCCAAGTGCGGTGGCTCACACCTGTAATCCCAGCACTTTGGGAGGCCGAGGTGGGCAGATCACAAGGTCAGGAGTTTGAGACCAGCCTGACCAACATAGTGAAACCGTGTCTCTACTAAAAATATAAAAAATTAGCTGGGCGTGGTGGTGGGCACCTGTAATCCCAGCTACTTGGGAGGCTGAGGCAGGAGAATCGCTTGAACCCGGGAGGCAGAGGTTGCAGTGAGCAGAGATCAAGCCATTGCACTCCAGCCTGGGCAACAGTGTGAAACTCTATCTCAAAAAAAAAAACAAAAACAAAAATAAAGAAATAGATTTTCCAGAAATCTGAGACATTTTAGACTACCCAGCAATTTTTTTTTTATTCTGGCAGTTGGATATATACACAGGTTCTATCTGAACTTTAAAATAATTGTTTAAAGATACCTGTGTTTGTAATTTCTAAAAATTTATTTTTATTGTGAATATCCATAACAAAATTTACCCTTTAACCTTTTTTTTTTTTTTTTTTTTTTTTTTAAAAGACTCATTTTGTCACCTAGGCTGGAGAGCAATGGCACTCTCTCTGCTCACTGCATTCTCAACCTCCTGGGCTCAAAAGTTCCTCCCAGGTCAGCTTCCCAAGTTGCTGGGACTACAGGCATGAGCCACCATGCCCAGCTCTGTTTAATCATTTTTAAGTGTGTAATTCAGTGGCATTAAGTACATTCACAGTATTACACAAGCATCACCACCATCCATGCCAAAGTTTAGAAGACAAATTTTAACATGCTTCAGGAGAAGGGAACTTCATTCCTTTTTAAGGCCGAATAATATTCTATTATATTGTATATGTGATGTTCTGTTTACCTGTTCAGCTCTGATAGCTGATGTGACTTTTCAAGTAGCATAAATAAATTATTCACTATGGAATCAAAAATATAAATGTGATTAAATAAATGTCAATCCTGTAAGTGAGCTCATAAATGAGCAATAATGTGTCGTTTTCACCAATGAAAGCTTCTCTTACCTTGCTATGAAATGGAGCGTTAGATGTAATGTAAGACATCAAAGCTTAAAGTAACTATCTCAGTACCAATGACTTTCTTCTTTTTTCTGTTACAGATCCAGATTTTACTTACCTAGGAGGTATTTTAAATCCCATTCCAGGTTTAGTATATTACCACTTGTTCCTCTTGGCATTTTTGATCAGTCTTATGTTCCTTTGAACACCTTTCATGTATTCCTTCTAGATTGTCAGTTTGAGCTCTCGGGAGCTGATGGAATAGTGCGCTCTAGTCAGGTAGAACAAGAGGAGAAAACAAAACCAGGCCAAGCCGTTGATTGCATCTGGACCATTAAAGCCACTCCAAAAGCTAAGGTATTATTATGTGTTGAGTCTCTTCAGAGAAGAATATCATGATAAGGCATGATTTGCAAAATATGTTATTTTGGTTTGTGAAAGTATTTATTGACTACATAAACTGATATTGCAACTTTTTAAAAATGTATTTTATTTCGCTTACTTTATTGGCACCTACGAAGATCCCAGCATTATTATAGTTAAATAAACTGGAATTCCTGAAATTATTCAGGAATATTACATGTATATTAAGATTCTCAATTATAAAAGATTAAGATTCTTAAGACCTGTCAGTTCCCAATTGGTGGGTGTGCATATTGATCAGCATGATTATAGATTCATTAACATCTTTATGAGGAGGAAAATAGGCCACAAGAGGTGAAAGTGTGTTCTCAAAAGTTACAGAGTTGGTCGTAGCAATCTAAAAACGAAACCCAAATGTGTCAAGTCTGTTCTTACCCTGCTGTCCTCTGCTACTCATGGGGCGCTTTTATTGGAAAGAACTGCAGGGAAGGATGTTTTTAAATAACTCCGACAGATTGAGATTGGATACTGACTACGTCTGCATTTAATTTATACTTCTAGGAATATCAACAGAGTTAAAATTATATTTAATGTGTATTATGTAAAAAGAGGGAAAAGAGGAGAGAGGGTGGGAAAACATACCTCTCAAGAATCATGAAAATCAGATTTAAAGATTAGGTAATATGATAGATAAGTAACCTGAAAACCCATCTGCTAGAAGACACATGGAAACATTGGGTAAAATATGACAAATAATTCTTTTAAAAGCATATGTGTAGGCTCCAGGAAGGAGAAAAAGAGGGTAATGTTTATGGGTGAGAAATGGAGAGACAGAACTATAAATTAATAAATTGAAATTGATGTTACAAATGCCCCTGGCTGATTTTCATAACCTGTTACGGCACAGGGGTAGACATACTGAGAGCTCCCTTTTAATTCCCATACTGAGAAAAGAAGAGTCCTGGGGTTCACATGGCCTTTATGAGACTCACATGAAGCTGGAGCCCTCAAAGGGTGGCAACTCACATGAAAGCATAGATTAGAAAAAATGTTTCACTGCCACATACTGATGACAAAGAAGCTTGTTTTTCTGGGTTTAGTCTCAGGGTGAGGTTGGGGGTGAGGCTGGGGTCCCCCCTAGCTTTATACTTAGAAACCCTGCCTTTATTAGGGTTTGAGAAATGGATTTACATTGCCTGCTCAACCCAGGAGTCACTAAGTCCAAAAACTAACAAAATGGTCCTGGGTGCATTAAACCTTTGAGTCACCTGGCAAAAATAAATCTAAAAGTCACCAAGAAAGCTGCAGGGTTGGCATGGATGAAACACTGCTGCAGGTCAGCTCACAGCCCCCAGATTCTGAAACCCCTATGCTCACAGCCCACCATGGGTACGAGTTCACCAACATAAACAGGAAGGAGTTCCTTAGATCCCCAAGAACTAGAGTGTTTCACATATCCTCCAAGAAGGAAACAGAGATGAGAAAGAAAAATGACCACGTCCATTTTTAAAATAACCAAATAGGAGGTCTATAAGTTAAAAGTGGCTATTAAAAGATGTATCTGAGGAAATTACCCAGAGCGTATCACTGGAAGAGGTGGCAGTTTATTAGGATTTTCCATAACTGATACTCTGTAGTGTGTAAGTAAGCCTGATGCCCAGGTCTTCACGCACACACGTGATGTGCGCCTCCCTCCAGCCTTGTTACCATGTCGGCACATTGCCTATCTGATGTGAAAAGGAAAAAAAGAAAATTTCAAGAACTGATAAAAAGCATGACACAGGGTGACTCCCAAGCAGGAAAAAAAATTTTAAGTGACACTGGCATTGTACCTCACAGACAAGGAGAAAAGTTTTTAAACAACAGAGAAAATAGCCTACAAAAGGATGCTATTAAGATTGACACCAGAATTATCAATAGCAAAATAGAAGCCCGAGACAATAGAATAATGTCTTCATAGTGTTAAGAGTGTTCATTGTCATTTAAGACTGAAGGCAGTGACGGGGATGCGGGGATGATTAATGAGTACAAAAGTATAATTAGATAAAATTAAATTAATACCTGGTATTTGATAGCACAACAGAGTGACTACAGTCAACAATTTATTGTACAGTTTAAGCGTAATTGGGTCATTTGTAACACATGATAAATACTTGAGATGATGGATCCCCCATTTATCCTGATGTAATTATGTACTGTATGCCTGTATCATGATATCTCAGGCACCCCATAAATACATATATCTATTATATACCCGTAAAAATAAAAAATAAAAGAATGAGGGCAAAATTAAGGTGTTTCTCTGCAAAATAATACCTGAATTAAATGCTACAGTTAAAATCCAAATGTATCTTGTTTACAGGATAATTACAGGAAGTTTTGAAAATACAACACTAGGAAAGAAATAACAGACAAATGTCAAAAAAAGAGCTGATGTAACTATTAAAACAGAAATCAATAATGTCACTATCTCACTAGATAAATCTCAGGTATTAATGTAGCCTTAAAATGCACAAAACATAGATTGCTGATTGTCAAGGAAAATCGACAAATCCACAACACACTCAGTAATTTTTTTTTTTTTACTTCTTAGTAATTCACAGGTCAAGCATACAAAAAGTTAATATGGCTCAAAAGATTTAAATAACACAGTATGTGCTTAATGGACATGGTATCTTGCTCCCAACATCCAGAGAATAGGCATTCTCTACTAGCATTCATAAAACATTTATCAAAACAGATACACGTGCTCAGCTAACAAAGGAAGTCTGAACGTATATGCAGAGCATCCTGTGACAAAAATGCAATTAAACCAAGAATCAGCAACCAAAGATTACTTTAAAACTCCATATGTTTGGAAATATAATAATATACCACTTAGTAATTTGTAAGACACAAGAAATCAGTGTGAAAATTTGAATACATTTAAAATGCATTAATGAAAATACTACATATAAAAAAACTGTGGGGGTACAGCTAAAACCGTACTTTGAGAAAAAGACTGAAATTTAGTTAAGACTCCAGAAGTTAAAAGAAAAATCCAAAGAAAGGGCAATCATAAAACAGAAATTTTTTTTAAAAATGAAGATACAAAAAGAATAAATCAATGAGGCCTGACATGGGCTCTTTGTAAAAGGTAACAACAGGCAGACTTCTGCCAAGATTGATCTAGAAAAAAAAGACATAAATAGTCCAGGCACAGTGGCTCATGCCTGTAATCCCAGCACTTTGGGAGGCAGTGGCGTGCGGATCACGAGGTCAGGAGATCAAGACCATCCTGGTGGCGTGCGGATCACGAGGTCAGGAGATCAAGACTGGTTTAGTGAACCCTGTCTCTACTAAAAGTACAAAAAATTATCTGGGCATGATGGCGGGCGCCTGTAGTCCCAGCTACTCAGGAGGCTTAAGGCAGGAGAATGGCGTTAACCCAGGAGGTGGAGCTTGCAGTGAGCCGAGTTCATGCCACTGCACTCCAGCCTGGGCAACTGTGTAAGACTCTGTCTCAAAAAAAAGAAAAAGGAAAAAAAAGACATAAATAATATTAGAAATGGAAAAGCTATAAATCAGCTACAGCAAGGCTTTAAAACTATTAAGAGACGAACCAACTAGAAAGTAGACCTGCCAAACAAGAGAGGAAAGAAACTGTGTTTCTTTAATAAATAAATGACAATGACAATGAGGGGGAAAGGAAAAACAAGAACCTATAGATTAAAAGAGATATAAAAGTCAAGTGAACTTACTGATTCAAACAAACTGTAAATGGAGGGAACTGATGACATTAAGAGGCGTGTAGAAGTTTGAACACTGGTATTTAATATTATTCATTTGTTTGGTTTGATAATAGGATAAAGGTTATTTTTTAAGTGGCTTCAGTGATACAGAAATGTTTACAGATGTAATGATTTAATGTCTGAGATTTGTCTCTAGTGTGTAAGAGTTAGAAGTGAGGAAAGACAGATAAAATAAGATTGGCTAGGTTATAATTACTGAAGTTGGAAGCTGGATACACAGATATATTTTGTCTGTTTTTGCATATTTTGAAATTTTAATAAATGTTTTAGAGATATTAAAATAATTAATTTTAATAGATAATTAAAATAAGAGAATATTATAAATAATGATTTGTCAGTAGATTTGTAAAGGGTATAAATGGTGATGTTTGGAGAGTATGGAGGGAATCCCTGTTTTTTTCTCTCTCAATCAGAATTCACAACAGGTTAGGAGACTAAAATTCTAAGGACCACTTGTCTTTCTGGCCAGAGGAACTAGATACAAGAGACCATGTTGTCATCTGGAGAATATGAAGGAAGTCTTGGAGAGGAGAGAGCTAGAGCAGGGAAGCACTAATGCAGGCTTTCCTTCTGAGGTGCCTGCGTGTGGAACAGATCCAGGGAAATGTGGCAGCAGTGTTAGGAACCACGTTACAGTATAAACCACCTCTAAGTCCCTGAGTGGGTCACACACTGGGCAAGCCTACCCAGCACAGCAAGGTCTTTGAACATTGGGACCACCACCCAAACAAAGAGAGACAGAATTTGCAGTCTGAACGCAACTTAGTTGTCTGCAGAACCAAAACAAATAACAAAAAACGACATCCTCCAGGGATTTTTAACAGGATCCAAGTCACACAGCATAATATTTAAAATGTCCAAGATACAATGAAAAATTACAGAGAACTAGGAAAATCTGGTTAATTTTTAATGAAAGGCAATCAATAGATCCCAACCCTAACCCAAATATTAAGAACTATCCAAAAATCTTTTTTTAATAAAAAAAAAATGTTTTTAATAGAAATGGGGTCTCACAGTGTTGCCTAGGCTGGTCTCAAACTCCTGAGCTCAAGTGATCCTCCTGCCTCAGCCTTCCAAAGTGCTAGGATTACAGGTGTTAGCCACCATGCCCAGCCAGAATTATCAAAAATTCTAAAGCAATGATAGAACCATGCTTCATGAGATAGCAGTAAACACTCTCAGAGTAGGAAAATAGGACTCAGC